TCCACTTTCTCAGCATTGCATCTTTCTCTGGAAACTTGACTCCCAACAACATGCCCAAAATAAGTGAGACGAAGCTTCACCATCCTGGCCTCAAAGAACACTCTGGTTGCACTTCCTCCAGGTCAGATTTTGTTTGTTTTCTTAGCAGTCCTCATGACATTCGGTACTCTCCTCCAGCACCACAGTTCAAAGGCATCGACTTGTCCCCTGTCATCCTTACTCATTGTCCAACTTTCACATGCAAACAAAGCAACTGAGAACAACTTGAGTGAATTGCACCCTTAGTCTTCACTTTTTTTTTCAGCACAATCACATTTCTTTACTAACCAAAGGGATGGTCCTACTTAAAACAACGCTTTGAAATGTTCATTGTTATGTGCTATCAAGTTGCTTGAGAATCATAGCGAGCCTATGTACAACAGCCCTGAAACCTGTTCTTTCCTGTGCCAATCTTATTGTCTCTGACACACTTACCCCTCATAACCCCAGTCACTGAATCAATCCATTTCATCAATGGTCTCTTTATCTTTCTCCAACCTTCCACCCTTCCAAGCATGATGTTCCAAGGACTGGTCCCTCCTTGCAACATGCCCAAAGTATGTCAGAAGAAGCCTCAAAATCCTTGCCTCCAAGGAGCTGCCTGGTCTTATCCTCTCTAGGATGGACCTGTTTGTTCTCCTGGCAGTCCAGGGTATATTCGATACTCTTCTCCATACGGTGTCTTAAACAAGTAAGCAGACAGCAGAGTGGCATACTATTAGCAAGAAAGAAGAGCAGGGACCCGTGTGTGTCTTTTAGAGCTGAGATTCCTGTGCTGTGACCTCCTAGAATCAGGAGACAGAGATAGAAAGCTTCACAGATATTTCATGTTGTACAACTCAAAGGTCAGTGACCACCCTGCATGGACAGTTGGCACCATTTTTCCAACAGCCTGTTCTCACTTTGTGTCTCGGTCACGTTCTCATAAAGCGTGTTCTGTATATAACAAACCACAGAATGATGTGAAAGTAACTTCGCGGTGTGCAATCTTGCTTTACTCTGATAGTCAGAGTGGCTCTGTGGTTGTTCAGGTTTCCTGCAGACTTCCAAGTCGGCCCTCACATGGTTTAGTGAGCACTTCATTTCCCTAAGACCACTTGGTGGCCAGACGATTCTTTCCACTTTCTTATTTTCTGATGCAATAAAATACTCCAAGATAAAATAAAAATTTCTTCAAAAAGAAAAATATCCCAATACTCCAGGCGTATCTTTTATTTTCTCTCATGCAATCTTAGAAGCCACATCTCTTCAAGGAGTCTGGACCCATTTGAAGGGGAAGGGAGCACAGAATCCCAGCTCCGGGCTCCGAGTGTGTTCATTCATACCGATACCCCTGTTCCCAGCTCAACACCACAGGCATCTTCCTTGTTTTTCCTCATTTGTATTTGTATCTTCCTTCTCCCTTGGTGAGAAATAGGGCTCCAAAAGATGATAAAGATTTGCTCTTTTGTTCAATTAGACAAAAATCACCTAATAGTTACAGAAAACCTATACCCACATCACTGTGTCAGAATGAATTAGGAGGAGTAAAGATGCCTTTGAGCTGTGGTGTTGGAGAAGAGTGTTGAAGGTACCATGGACTGCCAAGAAAACAAACAGATTCATCCTAGAGAGGGTTAAACCGGGTGGCTCCTTGGAGGCAAGGATTCTGAGGCTCCGTCTAACATACTTTGGACATGTTGCAAGGAGGGACCAGTCCTTGGAGAAGGACATCATGTTTGGGAGGGTGGAGGGACAGCGCAGAAGGGGAAGGCCTCCTATGAGGTGAATTGATTGAGTGACTGGGGTAATCGTGATGGGCGTGTCAGAGACAGTGCGATTGGCACGGGATAAAGCAGAGTTTAGGGCTGTTGTACATAGGGTCGCTATGAGTTGCAAGTGACTCGACGGCACACAACAACAAAGGTAGTTTGTATTCCATGCTTTCATATTGCTGATAAACACTCTAAGAAAACAGGACCATTGTACCACCATCCCTGAAGGCTTAAGACCAAGGCTTGAAGGCATGTGAGCGTGTGTGCACAATAATATCCTTTTGGCCACCAGATGGCAGCGTTTCACTGCTTGGGAGTGGATCTCCAGCACCTGGGAGCTCTGGTGGTTTAGTGTGTAGGGAGTGGGGCTGATGCCTCAGAGGCACCCTCTCTCCATCCGTCGCTCTGCTGGACAAAGATGGGCCTTCTCCTTCCGAGTGATTTACAGCCTCTGGAAACCTGCTGGAGTCAGCTGAGTCTGTTCGGACTTGATTGCAATGAGTGAGTCTACAGGACAGATTAATCCTTCGGTCTGTCTCCATTTGCTGTCTTTTTTGTCTCTCTTAAAATTGGATAAATTATGTATACTGGATTGAAACAGATGAGGGAGAGAACAGTTTAAAAGCGATATATGATGGGTATTATGGTTATGACAAGAGTCCAGAATGTAGGGGAGCTCTGGTGGCCTAGTGGCAAGAAGCTGCACTGCAATCCCAGAGGCGCATGGTTCAAATCCACCAGATGCTCTGCCGGGGAAGGAAGGACAATCTCCTCCTGTACCAGTCAGATCCGATTTGATGGTACACACACACACACACACACACACACACAAAAGAGTCCAGAATGAAGGCTGCATGGTAGAGTGTACTTGGAGAGGAGGGTAAGGGGAGGGGACTGTGTACCAATGAAGGAATTTTACTTTTCAAAGAGAAAAACGAACTGAGGGGGTGGGGTGGGCAGGGAGAAAAATGCTACAATGAATGAATGGAAATCCAAAATCTGTGTAAACGTTCACTAAAATTAATAAAATAATTTTTTTTAAAAAAAAATAATGTTTAGCGTTCTCTCCCATTCTAAAAGCAGCTACTGTGGAAAGTAAGGGAAGTATAAAAAGATATACCAGATGTGACCCTTGTTAACCTGTTGGTTAGAAGTGCCTGCACATCCTCCGTGTGGAAGTTGGACAATGACATAAGCAGACTTGATGTCTTTGAACTGAGGTGTTGGAGAGTAGTGAGTATCCCATGGGCTGCAAAAAGGATACACCTATTTTGGACGAAGTGCATCCAGGGTGCTCCTTGGAGGCAAGGACGGTGACATTTTGTCTCACGTACCTTGGGCATGTGATCAGGAAGGACTGGACCTTGGGGAAAGACATGAGGCTGGGAAAGGAGAAGGGTCAGGAAACGAGAGGAGGACCCTCAACAAGATGAACTGTCACCGTGACTGCATCACTGAACGGAGTCGACCAGAGATGGTGAGGAAGGCACAGGGTTCTGATCCATTGTTCCCAGGATCACTAGGAGTCACGGCCCCTCTGGGGCACCAAACCACATATGAGTGTCCTAGGTTGGTGTCATCACCATGGCAACTGGTGCCACGCTTCATCTGTGCGTTGGTGACAAAAGTTAACCGGTTTGAAGGGGATGAAAAGTCCCAAATAAGTCCATTGGCGTTATTATTCTCACTTTGTTGGGATCTGACCAAGACAGATATTATGATTCCATGAAGACCAAGTAAAATAGATTTTATAAGCGTACTGATCACTTGTATCCAGAAAGCCAAATTTGTATTTGTTGAGGTCCCTGGATGTAAAAAAAACCCCTAGAGATTTATAGTTCAAAGGCACAGAATGGTACCTTGGAAGATAAGACCAGGTGGTCTGCGTCCATAAAGTTTATAGGCAGGAGAACCATGTGTGTCAGTGTTCACTGTAACATGGGGTCATCCTGAGTTGGAATCGGCTGGAAACAATGAGTCTCATTTTTCTTTTTGTTACAAACATCCTAGATTTTGACCACTCAAATCAAATGCCTTCATAGCTGTAACCCAGAAGGACACTCAGATCGCCCATGATACGTTCTGATAGAATGACAGCTTTGTCCACCTTGGGTCCACCTTTACATCAGAGACTGACTCCTCCTGACAATCTTTGAGGCCGTTGGAATGACCACACAGGGCACATGAGGAAAGGATGGCTGAGGGTCACACGTGGGTCTGTCACTTGGGGTCAGAGCTGGAAGGGACACTGCAGGAGCGGGGGCAGAGGATGGTGTCTCGAGTCCTTTGCCCACCTGGTCATTGGGCGGCAGGGTGGTACCATCCTCCCTCAGAGCCCATCCTAAGCATCAGCCCATCTTTAAGAGATTCTGTGAAGAATACATGGCATCCCTATTACTCTTTACCATCCGTCTTAAAGATCACTAGCCTAGTGCTGCTGTATCAAGAATTACCACACGCAGGAAGGTGGTTTTAAAGAACAGAACTTTATTGTTTCATAGTTTCTCAGGCTACAGGTCAGAACTGTCAAGCCCGTTCCCAGGGGTAGCTGTCTAGTTACATTCCGGGAAATCCTGGCCTTTGGAGGATTTGTAGGTCTTCGGAGATCACGTAGCATCTTCGGATTCCTCATTTGCACTTGCTTCTGCATCCATTCTGCTCAATTTCTATCTCACGAGGGATCAGGTCTAAATGGCTATATACTGATCAGGTCTTATTAGTAACACAACAAAGAAAACTATTTTAAAAAAGGATTAATCACATTTAACAGTCTAGGGTGTTAAAACTCCATCACATATTTGGAGAGAATGGATCCCTGGGCTACAACTCAATTTGTACGCCATCCTGGAATATGGAGAGTTGGTAAGTAGGGTTAAAGCTCTCTCCTTTGTCTAGAACCCTGAACTCACCCTTCTACTTATACCAGTCTCAAGGATCTGGAAGAAACTATCAACCACCATCTGATTACAGTGACCAATTAGAGTTAATCAAAGCACCAACCTAAGGCCATCCTGATTGGTCCAGAGATAAACACATGACCTGATGCGGGCCAATCAGTTGTGTAGCCTGCTCTGGACCAATCAGAAGGAAGCCCTTTTTACAATCTTTTCGCTCGCCGTGAGAATGGACGATTGGCCTCTAACTGGCTTCGAGTGGCTTTCCAGGAGGGGGATGCATCCTGCGTGCTTTTGTCCACGTTGCTGAGGTTTATGCTGCAGGCGCCAAGCCAATCCTGTTGTTCTCCCTATCGTAGACAGAGAAATACTGTCTCAGGAAGACGTCTCCCAGAATCCAGGCCTGATCTAGGATGAAGGGTTGTGGTAGGAATTCACTGTAGCACAAGTTCTCATCCTGGAGGAGACAGGAAATGCACATGTTCAGAAAAACATGCCGCCCACACCCGCCCAGCATCCAGCACGCAGTTTCCCGGTTTAATCAGCCGCAGGAGCTGGGGTGGGTGGTGGCCCCAGGCACTGGAACTCCTTTCTGAACCTCACACTGCTCTTTCTTTCCCCCTGATCTCTCTCTGCGCTCTTCTTTGCAGAGATGGCCTACTCTTCTCTCTTGAATTCGCCCAAGATGGAACCCCTGACACCTCCTCCAGGCAGCCTTCCCGGCTGGACTGTATTCCTTTTTTAGCTGCTCCAGTCGAGGTGGGGCAAATTTCCTTGTGTTCCTCTGAACCTGGTGTTTCTGTCACCACACTGTATTGATTGCCCTGACCTGCCCTCCTGTCTACTTGGGGCTGCCATGCTGCCCAACATTGAGCAGGGATGTGTCTAAAGCCCGCTTCTGAACCACACTCATCAGCCCTCCTGTAAGACCTGCGGGGCAGCAGCCACATTAGTTAAGTTCATGAACAAAGCATTCGCCAACCAGGTGATTCTGACTCACAGAGATTTCTATTTCAGAATAGAATTGCATGCACTTCTGTGCTTTTCAATGGCTGCCATCTTTTGGGAGTAGATTGCCAGGCCTCTCTTCCTAGGCACCTCTGAGTACAATCTAACTACCAGTCTTTTGGTTCAGCAGCCAAACTCTTTAACCAGTTGTTCCACCCAAGAGACTCCTTAGTGAACCTAACCATGGAGTCAACTCTGAGTTGGAGTGACCTTTCTTTGGATTTCTGAGAGCGAAATATTTTTTTAATTGTTTTTTATGCGATCGCTCATATCAGTTGTTTTTCCAGATTATTACGGTTGTACAATGCCCTTAGTTATGATACCTTAGTGAATTCTTACTGTACTCTTCCATTCCCTTCATCCTCCCCAACCAGTTAATTATCTCTCCTTCTGCTCTCTACTGAGGTTGGAATCTTGAGAAGAACAATCTGCCTTTCACCCACATAAGGTTTAGTTGATTTGAACTGCCAGCCTTTCAGTTATTAACATAATATAAAATAGCCTCTTAGCATTAGAGCCTGTTCTATAAGCCTAGGATTGTTTCAATTCCTTCTCTTCCTCAAATGCCCCCTTCTATCATCCCACCTTCTCTGAACTCCCGCGGGAAGCTGGCATTTATGTAGCTTCGGTTATGTGCCAGGCGCTGGCGGCTATGGGCACTGTGCATCATTTATTTCTTCACGCCAATAGCCCATCATCCCAACTGCCCTTTAAATGGAGGGGCTCTTACCCCAGTTACAGAAGCAGGAACTAAGGCTTCACAAGATGAAGTGAGTGCCTAGTGTAACCAGATGGTCGCATCATTTATCACCCAAAGAAGGACAATCTGACTTGGAAGGGGACACTGTGAGTGGCTATGGCGAGTTGGCTCTGCCTCTATTCCTTTGATCCATTTAGGAATTCTGTAGTAAAATGTTGGGTCATCTGAGCTTCCTAGTTGACCTGGAAGGTCCTTAGGGGTGGGCATTTAGTGCCCCATCCTCATTATGCTAGTGCCTTGAGTCACTCTGCACCAATTACCTACAAGTAAAAAAGTGACAGTAGGCTCCTGGTGAGCAGATAACTTGTTGAGATACCAAGCCAGGTGCTCTTGACCACAGCTGCAATGGCATGGTTTGGACACCAGGTGGCACTCCCAGCAGCACTGGCCAACAAATGTGGCAAGTCCCCGGAATTTGAGGACTAGTTCTCTAGACCCTGCCTCTCACCTGTAGGGTGTAGGCGCTGGCTGGCACTGTGTAGTTAATGCCATTGATGGCAAAGACAATATCAGGGAGGGTGTGAACGGCTTCACAGTCCACGACGTACTGTAAGAGAGAGAGAAGGTTGGAGAAGGTTGGTCCAGCACAATTCCGTGTGAGGGCTGCTGCACTGACCCTCTGAAACAACTCCGTACCCCGCCATTAAGGCTTTTCTGGGCCTTGATGAGGCTGTGGATGTTGTAGATGTCCATATATGGTCCGACGAGCAACGAGGTTCCAGTATCCAAAATGGCCTGGCATCCATCTCTGCAGGCAACGGTCATGCCTTCCATGGAAATACTGTGAGAAGGGGACAAAGCAGGGCCTGGGGTCACTGGACCACCCAGCCCAGTTCCCTAGCCTGCTTCCTGAACATCTGAAGATCAGCCCTTCAGCTCATGCCTCCCTTTCTGTTTTCCTGTTGTGCTGGGCACACTGACCTTCTCT